GACAGGCAGGGTCTCTGTGAGTTTTTCAAGATCAGCCTGGTCTACAGAGCAACCCTGTCTTGAAAAACCAAAAAGTGCTTGACTGGAGCTCATATCCGTGTTGGCATACGGAACATAGACCACCACTTGTCACGTAAGCAGGCAGCAGTGCGAGCCCACCTCTGCAGGCTGATCTTGAACCCTGGCTCTGGTGGGCCACCAATCATCCTACCAAAATGTTTGCAAGATGACTGGGGACATATACACATGGCTCCCCTTCGGCCTGCGCCACATGGGAAAGGAAATGAATCTATGTCACAAGGAACAGAGAGGGTGAGCAGCCTAGACAACATCTCACATGCTCCAGACAGCAAAACTGAGACCCACACGGATGTTAAACTCTCCAAACATGCCTAGGAGGACAGGACTGAAGTGGACAACCATGTTCATCTGACCACCGCCCCTGCAGACAGTATGGGAAGACCAAGAATGGAGTTCCCAGATGCTGGTTGAGTCTCCAATGCCAGCCAGAGGCACTGTGTTCTTGGCAGACAGCAGAGGGAGGGCCTGGCTGCCTCTCACACACTGGGTGGGCCCCTGCCTGGGGGCTGCAGTGGCATATCTTGGTACAGCATCTCAGGGACACCACATTGTCCCTTCAGGCACCGTGAGGACCCCAGATACACTCAGGCCTGTGCTCCTGACTTAGGGATGGCCCCAAGTCTGCCTGTTGCCCTGGTACCTCACTTGACTGCGAAAAGCTCCCAGCTTAGATGAACCCTGCATAGCTCTACTGAAAACCTGACTGGAGGGCTCAAAGAGAAAAAAAAAGGGGGGGGGGGATTTCAGGTTCTTCAGCTTTAGATGTGAAAGAGGGAAATTAGTTGTAGCTTGATACTCTTTTGTTTTGTTTTGGGAAGGGGGAGACTGTCCTGAACGCTAGCCCTTGCAGACCAGGCTGGCCTCAAACTCAGATCTGTCTGCCTCTGCCTGCCGAGTGCTGGGATTAAAGGCATGTGCCACCACCACCCGGCTTTTTTTTTTTTTTTTTTAAAGAAAGGGTTTCTCTGTAGTTTTGGAACCTGTACTGGAACTCGCCCCGTAGACCAGGCTGGCCCTGAACTCACAGAGTTCCACCTGTGAGTTCCCGAGTGCTGGGATTAAAGGTGTGCACCACCACCACCTGGCTCCTGATGCTATTTCATGCCCACAAGAGCTTCACTTTACCCAACCAGAGTGAAAAGGCTGGGGCCAGGCCAGCATAGCCTCACTGTCCATGAGATCCAGATGCTAGTGGGTGAAGCTGCAGGGTACACAGGAGAGCTGGAGCAAGCTATGGGAGAGGGATGCAGAAGACAGCATGACTCCTCACCTCACACCTGAGCCCAAAACTGGGGAGGAGAAACCTACCTTGGGGCTCTAAGTTATGAAGGCCATCCTGATTTTCTATGCGTTGAATTACCTGTGCTGAAAGTGGGCCATGGAGAAACAGGCCCATGCAAAAACATTCTCAGGATGAGGAAGTCAGAATGCACTCGAGCAGGAATTTTCATGTTCTTTAAGCCCCTCATAGAACAGAAAAGCAGGCAAGAGGAGTCTGAAGGCCAGGCAGGTAGGTTTAAGTACTGAACCAGGGGAGGCTGCAAGGGAGATGCCTACTCGGAGATTTTTAAGACCTTCGGTGACAATAAGAAGCTGAAAATGCAGACAAAGCGGGAGGAAGCCTCGTTTTCAAGGCTCTGCTGAAAAACTGATACGATGGCACACACCTGGGGCTCTCCCACAAGGGAGCGTAAACGAGTTCAAAGCCAGCCTGGGCCACATAGTAAAACCCTGTTTCAAAAAACAAAATACCACCAAGAAAGATTTAGAAGATAGAAACTCAAATTCCCTTGTTCTTCCATTAACTCCATATTCTGACATCAACTGTAAGGGCTGGAGCAATGGCTCAGCAGTCAAAAACACTTGTTGCTCTTGAAGGACCCAGGCTTAGTTCCCAGCATCCACGTGGAGGCTCACAACTGGCAGTGACTCCAGTTCTCTGAAGCCCTCTTCTTGCCTCTGGGGCCACCAGGAACGCATGTGGTACAAATTTATACATGCAGACAAACACTAATACATCCAAGTAAGTAAAAAAATAAATTTTAAAAAGCCACTGTCAGGGGTGGGGGGAAATGCAAGCCCACTGTAATTATCGTTCTAAAGCCAAGGAAGGGCCAACACCTGGTGTGACGATGACAGTGGGCCGTGTTCACATGTACCTGAACCAGCTCTGTGTGGTGACATAAGCCTGTGATCCCAGGACTCTGTAAGCAGAGGCAGGAGGAGGAGTTTGAGACCAGTCTGGGCCATACAGCCCACCCTGTCTCTGAAGGACAAGAGGGGAAAAAAAAAAAAAAAAAACTATATTCCGTGCCATGGTGAAATGGCAGGTGTGGAGTCTGCTTCCGGATGGGAATGGGGAAGAGGCAGTTGATAAGCCATGACCACTGACAGCCGCAAGGGAGGGATGGATAGGCAGAAATCACATCTTTAGACACCCTGCTTTCATGTTTGTCAATTTACTTCACAGTAGAAACTTTTTTAAAATCATGTGTTACATTTCCTACAACAATTCATAATGTTAAAAAAGAAAAAAAGAAGAAGAAGAAGAAACATTTTAGCCATACTGGCAGCCCAGTCTCTTGAACTGTAAAGAATAAACCCAACGGTGTTACAAAATGTTGCTTCTTAAGAATGTGTAAGCCAAAAGCTTTTACACGACACCCCCCGCCCTTTATTTAAATTCTTCCACAGGCTACTAGGGGGAGATTTCCCACAAATGTAAATTCCAGCCCTTGGCAGCACTCAGCACAGAGGCCGCCAAGCTGCAGTAGTACCCTCAAACACAACTGGGAGTCGGGGAGAATTCGGGGAGCAGGGCCAACTGCTGGCATTAGAGGCCATAGTGCGTGCATGCACCGTTGTTCAAAGTCAGTCTTGACTGGCAACTCTCAACCCAGTTTTCACCGTCAGAGGTTACTTTGTAGCAAATCCTCCTGGGCTATAAAGCCAGAGACAGAGCTGCTTCCAGACAGTTTAAGAACCTTAGGTGGGGGGATCCCACCTACAAAAGTTTCTGGGTGGGTAGAGAATTTACATACCCAAAACCCCTCCCAATAGTTCAGGAAGGAAAAACAAAACAAACCCAAACCTGTCAAGTTATGAGCCTTGGCCCTGACACTAACTTCACACCTGTAACAGTGTTTGTAACAGGCACTGTAAAAACCCATTGGGAATTCTATTTTTACAGTTAATTTACTAAGTATTTACTTCCCAGCAAGCCGGGGAACAGGAAAACGCTAACTTTCCTAGAATTCAGGTCCAATTGCCTTCCATTCTCCTAAATTTGGGAATATGGTTGAGTCTCATTGATGAGATTGTATTGGGGGTTCTATTAAGCAAAATTAAAAGCCGTGGTATGTAAAATAAAATGGAGCTGCGCTCCAGCCTTGCAATTATGGCACAGTGGCCCACCTGGAACTTGGGTTCCTTCCCAGCCTGCCATTAGAGGGGACTGTCTCTCCCTCAGGCCACCATGCAGAGCCCCACGCAGTAACAGCAGCCATCTTCAAAGCTGCCAGTGACCAAAACGAACCGGTTGATCCAGAGGGCTACGGCATTCTTTTCTAAAAGGCAACAGCCCCTAGCAGAACACACAGTAGGTTTATTTCCACCCTATCTGGGAATCCACTGGCCTAATCCGCACCAAACAGGTAGTTCCAACGGTGGGTCAAGGTCAAAGGGACTAAGAGCCACTTCCACAGGAGTGTTCAAACAGGTTGCTGGCTCCAGGATGTTTACAGGGCTCTTAACCTCTCTGAGCCTCCACTTGCCTGTCTTTAGAATGAAGACCCACAGTGACAGGCTGAAAGGATCCACATGCAAAATAGAGGAAAGCCTGGCCTCGTCCCCAAGGAAGTCACTAGAAACTGACACTCTGGAAAAACGTAGAGCCTCAGAGCTAAGGATTTTCTGGGTTTCTCCACAGCGCTGAGCTGGGGGATTCCCACACTCTGGCAGGAGGCTGCCCTGGCCACTTCGAAGGCGGCCTCCAAACCCCTACCAACTGCCCCCAAGGGCCTGGTCACCTCCAGGCGCAAGGTTAAACGGGTCTTCAAATTGCTGGAAGCCCTATAAATGCATTTAGAAGTTGGCCAGTGGGCATTCGAGGAGCCCTGACATCAGGAGAGGAGGCGCACTAGACACCGAACAGGCACCACAGGGGACTGGGGGAGATCTGGGAGGTTCCCAGGCCCCACAGTGGGGAAGTCTGGAGAGGTCCCGGGGGCCAAACCACTAGGTCAGGTGGGCAGCAGGGAGGGCCCGCGGGCGCCAAGTACAGCCTGGCGGACAAAAGGGGGCCGGCTGAGCCCGAGCAAGCGGCGGGGTAGCCGGGAAATGGAGCCACGTGCCTGGCGGGAGAAGGCGAAAAAGCCTCCCAACACTTGACTGCTTGCTCAGCCCCGCGAGTCAACGGCCCTCCACTCCGCTGGGGAAGCGGAGTGGGGAACCCCGTTGGTGTTTTTAAGTTTTCTGGAACTTTTCCAGAGAAAAGGGCACGCTGGTGGGAAGGGCTGCCACGGCGGCCACCCGCTCCGCTAGGAAATCGCAGGGCGATTAACACTTGAATGGGGAGGGCGGCTGCCCGGCGTGGAACTGCGCCCGAGCGGCCGATGGCGGCTCTGGGGCCCCAGGGTTCGGTTCCCGACCCGTCCAGCTCCCCGCCCCTGGGCCGAAGCTCTACGCTCGGGCCGGCGGGAGGAGCGCTGCGGGAGGACGGCAACCCGCTGAGGCCGGGCCTGGGCCCCCACACTCGTCCCGGCCCCGCCGCTCGGGCGAGCTGGGCCTCCCCGCCCCGAGGCCCTGCCCGGCCACCCCGAGGCCACCCCGCGGCCCCACAGGCCCCGTCGCCCCCGCCCGCCCCGCCCGCCCCCCCGCCAACCGCAGCGGCACGAGCGCCGGGCGCCGCGCGGACTCACCGGGGCCGGCTCCCGAGTACATGGTGGCGCCGCCGAGGGCCGCGGCCGAGGGCCGGCCGCGCGCTCCACGGGCCCCGACGCCGCGAGCCGCGAGGAGCCGCCGGCCGCTCGATCCGCCCCGGCGCGGCCGCCTCGCAGAACAGGTTTACCCGACGCGGCCGGGGCGGCGGGCGGAGGTGGCGGGAGCGGAGGGGGAGGGGAGCGGGAGGAGGGAGGGGAGGAGGAGGGGCGAGAGGGACGACGAGGGAGGGGACGGCGGGGAGGAGGGGGGGGAGAGGAGGAGGGAGAAAGTGGCGGGGGAAGGAGGAGACAGGGGAGGAGGCTGGAGGCGGCGCGCGCACGCCGGGCAGCTGAAATGGGGTGGGGGTTTGAGAACGGTGGCGCCCCCCACCCCCGGCGTGGTTGCCCGGAGTGTGGGACCCTAGAGGCGACCCGGGGCACACGGGCCGAGACCTTCCCTGCGGCCGAACGCGGCGAGTTCTGGCTTCCGGGCACGGCCAGCCCAGCACTGCGACCCGAGTCGGGGTCCTCCCGTGCCGAGAGGCAGAGCCCGGGCCGCGTCCCGCCGCGCCCCCGCCCCTGCACCTAGGCCTGGCTCTTTAAGTTATTAACGAAACGGCGACGGGAAGCTGGCTCCCCACCCAGAGCTTGAACTTGGACGCGGCCAGGCCCGTGCACGCGACCACACCGCCACCTCCCGGCGCGGCTCGACAACCTAGACAATCTTAATAAAGCACCAAGGAAGCCCAGCGAGTTCAAGATTAGTTTTGTCAGCTGTCAGGAAGCAGATCTACTCGGATCTCCTCCGTTCCAAGGCTCAGAGCCCCGGAGCTTTGCTCTGAGACCGGCGGAATGAGCACATCTGTCAATAACCCACTTGTTGCTGACAAAGTGGTCCTAGTCCTGTCCAACTGTCCCTGAAGCCTTTTCTGTGGAGGCGGCAGCTCCTAAAATCACCTTGCGCACTGCAGCGTCTTCGAAGTCCATTCTCCTTCCAATACACGTCAAAAGGAAGAGAGGAAACTAGGAGGTACTGCAGACCGCCACCCCAGCTACTCAGAAGGCTGAGGCAGGACGATGAAGAGCTTAAATCCTGTCTAGGATAAAAGAAATGGTGGGTCTCCCTTCAAGAGATGAACACAAACGGGTACTCATACCTGGCCCTGCTCACCACTGCTTTGGGGATGGAGACAGGATTTCCTGAACTCAGGAGAGATTTGCTCAGGACCAGCCCCAGTAACACAGAATTGATGGGGGGCAAGGAAGGGCTAGTAGATGGGAGCTGGGGACTCAAGTTCAGCTATGGAGCACAAGACCTTGAGTCCCCCAAGAATAATGACATCTGTTTGGGGGGCATGCAGCAGGTCAGTTGATAGTGCCTGCCAGTCAGGAAGAACCCCGATGGTGCACACCTTTAATCCCAGCACTCAAGGCAGAGCAGGTGGATCTCTTGAGTACGAGGTCAGCCTGGTGTACAAAGTGAGTTCCAGTTACACAAACCCTACCTCAAAACCCTCCCCGCCGCCAGAAAAAAAAAAAAAAGAAAGAAAGAAAGAAAGGAAAAGGTTCGATCCCAGCACCACAAAAACTAGACATGAGATGGCTCTGGTTAAGAGCACTGTCTGCTCTTCCAGAGGACCGGGATTCAATTCTCAGCACCCACAAAGCAGCTTACAACTGTCTGTAACTTCAGATCCAAGGGATCTGGCACCCACACACAGACATATTATATGCAGGTAAAAGACCAATGCACACAAAAATAAAGATAAATCTTTAAAAAAAAAAACTTAAAAAAAAAAGGAGATGATTACACAATACATAGAATCCCAGAACTCAGGAGGGGGAAACAGGGTTCAAGGCCAGTCTGGTATACATGAGACCTGTCTCACAAAAAAATAAATAAAAATGTGGATTGTGTTTCTGAGCGCCAGGAAGCCTGGGAAGCATGGGCATGGCTGCTCATCACAAGAGGATGGACACCATGGTCACTCCCTCTGAAGTGGAGTGAGAAATGGAGCCTAGTGTGTCTGTGGCTGGGATCCAGTCAATGCAGCTAAGTGCAGCAGCGTGGCTGGCCCTCAGCCAACAAGTCAGCCTGGCTTCATTGGTAAGAGTTCCTAAGTGTCCAGGTGTGGGGAGGGGCGGTGGAGGGGGGTGGAAACGAGGCAATGTAGGAGGTCCTGCCTCTAAGGAAAAGGAGGGAAGAAGGGAGGGAGGGAGGGAGGGAAAGGTCCCAAACAAGCAAAATTAAAGTAGCCCAGAGAGCTGGCTTTGTAAATAGCCGCTGTCCTAAGAACAGCAAGATGGTGTGGTAGCAGGCAAGGCTGGTGTGGAGCAGGGCCTTCCAGCAGCCACGTCTCCCTTGGAGGTCCACAGCTCCGCCTTGACTACACCACCCTAGAGTCTGGAGGGAAAGCTGCGGGTTCGGTAGGATGGAGGCTGGGAAACTTTGTTTCCAGGCAGGATAATCTCAGGAATGCGGGATTGTGTCTCTCCTGAGACCCAACACTGCTCTCTGCTGGTGGAAGGATGCCATTGCGTCTTGTCTCTCACCTTCCACTGCGAGTGCCCAGGTAAGCCAAGGACTCACATCCAGCCACCCAGCACTAGGGTGCAGGGTGCTCCTTTCCAGAGTACAGCCACCCTCTCCTTCGCTGATACACCAAACCAAGATCTGGAGACACAACTCAAGCCAGGGCCACCATCTCTCCCTCTGACGATTTTAGCCCCAAGCCACTGTTCCTCCATCCAACCAGGGAATGCCCTGCCCCCTCCACACGGCCTTCTTTCTGGCCTGCGAGAGAGGACTCAATTTATAATGGTGTAGTCTCCACTCACGCCTAGAACTTTCTCAAGTTCCCAATCTGTCCTGGCACAGAACACTGGAGGCCTCTCACCTTCCGTGCCCTGGCCCATGTAATTCCTGTGGAGACCTGAAAATCTGAGCCTATTTCTCTGTTGACCAAAGTTCAGAGAGTAGGAACTTACCCCTAGTCAAGGTTATTATGTTTCTACCTGAAATAAAGGTCACACCTAGATTTAGGTCAGAGACTTCTGCTCGCTCAAGGTTATTGTCAACAGGTGGGACTAATAACCAGACCTTGTATTTCAGGAATAGAGAAGTAGACTCATTTCTACCCCAAACAAAAGTCTGAAGACACAGTTAAATTCCAGTTCCCTTAAGGAGCTAACTTCGGGGGCTGGAAAGATGGCAAGCACTGACTGCTCTTCCAGAGGTCCTGAGTTCAATTCCCAGCAACCACACGGTGGCTCACAACCATCTCTAGTGGGATTTGATGCCCTCTCCTGGGATAAAGGTGTGCACACAAATAGAAAACTCATATACAGAAAATAAATAAATCTTTAAAAAAAAAAAGAGTCCCAGCACTCGGGAGGCAGAGGCAGGTGGATCTCTGTGAGTTCGAGACCAGCCTGGTCTACAGAGCTAGTTCCAGGACAGGCTCCAAAGCCACAGAGAAACCCTGTCTCGAAAAACCAAAAAAAAAAAAAAAAAAAAAAAAAAGAGTGAGAGAGATGACTTTGGATTCCACATTTGCCTACAGAATGTTTTGTTACCTTAGGAAGTAGTAGTCTGTGACCTTCAACTGGTCTGTTCATTTACTTGTATCATATTGATGTAGTTTTTTGTCTTACTCCTACCTTTTGGGGTCAGGGATATTTTAAGAAATTGGAAATTAAACACAGGCGAATTTCAGTACTCACTGGAATTCTCTCCTGATACTATTCTATGTTTCTCTGTTTTATTATTTTCATTTGTGTCTTTATAGTCTTTGCTATATTTATAAATTCCCACGCCTCTACCCCAGCAAGGGGTGTTTTTGTCAAGGCTGGTCCCCGACAAATTCCCACTCTTGTGCTGGGCCTGCTGATGCCATATGCAGCTGTAGGCTCAGGCACAGGCTGAGATAGTGAAGCAGGCCAGTCCATAGCTCAGCACAGTGTGCACTCCCAGTTTTGATCAACAACCCCCAGGAAAGAGAAAAGAGAGTCTGAAAAATTGCACAAAACATGCTCCAATGCCATGGGGCCTGACGGATTCAACCACAGGGTTGTGTGGTGACACATATTTGTAATCCTAGCACTGGGACTAAGGCAGGGGTTGGCTAGGGAGACCATCTCCAAAGCGGCTAGGCACATGGCTCATGCCTTTAATCCCATCACTTAGAAGGCAGAGGCAGGTGGATCTATATATGTTTGAGGCCAGTCTGGAATACATAGTAAGTTCAAAGCCAGCCAGAGTTACATAGTGAGACCTTATTTCAAAATATATAATATGTATCAAGTCAAATAGCTCTGAAGTTTATTGACTGCAGTCCTTAGAGCCTTCAGCAATCTATGAAGACTCCTACTTCTAGGAGAGAAATAGGAATTGTGTCTTAGTCCATTTCTTTTTTGTTGTTGTTGTTTGTTTGTTTGGAGACAGGGTTTCTCTATCTTTGGAGCCTGTCCTGGAACTAGCTCTTGTAGACCAGGCTGCCCTCGAACTCACAGAGATCTACCTGCCTCTACCTCCCAAGTGCTGGGATTAAAGGCGTGTGCCGCCACCACCCAGCACCTAGGTCCATTTCTGTTGCTGTAACTGAACACCACAGCCTGAGTAATTTAGAAAGATACAGAGGTTGGTTAAGCTCAGGGCTGTGGAACACAGTCCCAGAGTCTGGTCGACATGGAGAAAACCCAGCGCTGCACTCTGTCCCTAACATGTGTGCCCACAGAGTCCTGTGCTCAGGGCCACACGAGAATGGAGGAAGATTTGCAATCTACCAAATAAAGCTTGCCTGATGGTCAGAGTGCAGAACTAAGCCACTAGTTAGCCACAGAGGCAGGCGGTGGCGCACACACCTTCAATTTCAGCACTTGGGGAGGCAGAGGCAGACAGATTTCTGAGTTGAAGGCCATCCTGGGCTACACTTAGAATGATCCAGTCTCAAAGAGAAACAGCCAGGTGGTAGAGGTTCACATCTTTAATCCTAGTACTTATGAGTCATACCCCTTTAATCCTGCACTAAGGAGGTGGAAACAGGAGCGTTATGGCTGGGCAGAGAGAGGAATATAAAACAGGAGGAGACAGCATGCAGTCTGAAGATTCATAGAGACAGGCTCGCCCTTTCAGTCTGAGGATTTGGTAGAGGTAAAAGGTCTCTCTAGTGGCTGCCTGCACTGCTT